ATTAGTTGATTCAAAATGAGACAATGAAATTTTTGATTTCTTGTTTTCTTAAGTATGAGGTTTCAGTTCTGATTTCCTCCAAGATAGTATCTGAAGAATATCATATACTTGTTTCAGGTTGTACCCCCAGATCAAGCACGTACAATCTACAAGGCGTTGAAGGAAAAGGGTTTGCCTGTTGCATTGGTTGAGTATGAGGGAGAACAGCATGGTTTTCGCAAGGTATGTTTTATCCAACATTCTATCTTCTCTTCTTTTAAAATGTGTTGTGCAGAAATATGAGTCCCCTGATCTGGCAATTGAAACAGGCTGAGAACATTCAGTTCACACTGGAACAACAAATGGTGTTTTTCGCACGTTTGATCGGGCACTTCAATGTCGCAGATCCAATTACTCCAATCAAAATCGACAACTTTGACTGAGGTATTTTGTTCTGGGGATTCCAGTTTGTTTACAAGGTTCTGATGGCATGTGGATGGATATCTTGCCTTATGGATTTACTCTTGTAATATCACTGTCCCAAAAAGAGCATGTACACTATTGTTTTCTTATTCCTACTTGCTCAGAAAAGCTTTATCCTGGCATTATAAGATGAAAGTAGTTAGTTTTTACTCTTATTCCTGATACTGTGTTAATATTTCTATATCATATCTATTGAAATAACACTTACTCTAGCATGATGCTGGGAAGGGTTTTAACTTAAAAGGTCCATCATCATCATCTAACTGATTACATATTAGAACAACCATCTGAAAACCATAAATCACAGTCTCACCAAGTAGGATTTATGTTTTCTGTCAAGCTAACATCTGTTTGCCTTTACCCTCCCTTCCTCTGCTCATCTCAATTTGTCATTCCCTCGGTGTTACTATTAACTTCAAATGCAGGGTGATACCATTCCCGTGTCACCCCCATTGCTAGTGATTTGATGCTTTTGCAGTGTAGAGTTAGGGTGCGCACCGGCCAGATAAGAAAGGCCTGTGCGCGTATACAGGCAAGGCATTCAATATATGTTGCTTTGGTCTGAATGCTCTTTGTTAGTAGTCCAAAAATGGATCACCTACATTTCAGCCCATGCCTAACAACTGCACTGACAAGTGTAATGAATTGAAAGCCTGCCCAAAGCTTCCGTGTCTGTCAAAACTCTCAACGAGGAATCGTCTTCGGTGACCTACCTTTGCTTCTCCCAACGGGTTGTGCACACGCGGGTCTGGCTCACGGGACCATGTGGCTAACCAGAGCTTTCTTGGTATGATTCATGAACAATAAAAATAGAACTCTCCTAAGTTTATGAAGGG